TTAACCTTAGGCATTAGGCCTGTGAGGTTAACCTTAGGCATTATCTGTGTTTGGGGAGGTGGATAAAAGAAATTAATAAATAATGCTCTGAGTACTTCAACGTGAGTAGAAGAAACTCTCTAACTTCTTCCCTTCTTCCTTTCTTCTTCCTTTGCTCTCTTAATCCCGCGTCTTTAAGGAGCAACCTTCATTTCCGGAATGCAATAGTCCCATTTCCATATAAGGTATGGGACTGACGGAAAGGTCTGTCACCGCCCCATTCTGCATGCTGCAGCGAAGTGTACCTCTTTAAAATAGGTTTCCATTCTCTGTGGGGATCTAAGGTTCTTCTTCTGTGTATTAAAAAAAGTTGTTAAACATCTGAGTGGCGCACTACCACTACTAGTGGTGAGAAAGTGTATTGCACCTTATTGAAAATCAACATGGTCCCGTRGCCCCAAAGTTTAAAACAGTTGTTCTTTTGAGGCCCTCAAGGYGAYGCTCATGGGTTAAGAATCTCTGATATATTCATCAGCTTCAATGGAAATTTTCAAATTAAAAGTACTGATATGTGTTGTTTGGAAGTCAGTAACAATCTGAACTTTCATACCTGTTGTTTTGCACTCCAGGCTCTGAAGCATCTCTGGAAAACTCTGGCAGCCTGCCTCATTTGGACAAATCTGTGTCTCTCAGATCTGGCTCGGACGGTGGCTCGATACTTTCTCTGAACTGTGAGTGCCGCTGCTTTCAGTTTCAAATACTGCTGCCTTTCCCAGCGGGCCCGGTAGGCTCTCTGAATAACTGTGGCGGCCCGATGTCTTAGTTTGATACGTTGTCTGGTCTTCATTCCTTGAAACGCAGCTTGCAAGACGATGGCAGCTTTCCTAACCTCTTGGTAATGCTTTACATGCAGTCGTCCCAGTTTCTGAGCTCTAAACCTCCGCTGTAAGACACCAGCTGCCCAGCGTTGTCTCCTGAAGGCCGTCTGCTGTTTGTGTTGTCTGAAGCCTGCCTGGATGACAGCAGCTGCTCTGTGCATCTTTGTCACTTCAGTCCTGACACGATGAGCTCTGAACGCTGCCTGAAGAACAACAGCAGACTGTTTTATTGTCAGGAAGTGTTCTCTGGCTCTCCTC